AGCTTTCAACCTCATCCCATTGTCTTTAACACACATTTAACATAATAATACTCATATTAATATACAAATATACAGTATGAGTACTGTTTTGATACTGACATTTTATCTTTGCACTAAGGTGTGTCTGCACTATTGTAATTGTGTCTGTTGACTGTGGTAAATAAAAGAGAGAACCAAATGCACTGTACAAAAGATCAGCTTTATTGTCAATTTATAATTTCCATGCTGTTCAGATGCCTCATAAGGGCTGTGCGCGTGTCTTGCCCCGTGGCGATTTGTTTAGGTTGCGTCTCCCCAACGTTGCTTCCAGGCGAATACAGAGGAGTTGAAAAGAGCCCTTGGACATTCGGAAATCTTTGATCCACTGCACATTGGTGTACGTTGGCACCACCTTCTCCCACCAGGCCGATGTTCTATTGTTCACCCAGAGAGAGCGCGGGACACGGCGCGTTCCGTAGTATTCGCATATCTGGAATACATACAAAGACACAAATTAGCCCTACATAACTCCATAAATCCTACATTAGATAGTATTAATGTGATTTAATGAACGTACCATTGCTGTTCTTTGGGCGTGATAACGGTCATCATCCTCAGCTATCGAAACATGTCCATAGCGTGTGCTTTCGTCGTCCAATCCTTTTGTTAAGGCTTCTTAACCGCCTTCGCCTCCGACTCAGCATTTCTATTGCATTTGAATGGTCGATCTGTATTTGTATTTGTGGCTGAGTTATTGGCTTAAATAACTCAGTTACGAAGCTGTATAACACGAGCACCAAAACGTCAACTCCATACCGTGTCTGAGGTCGGAAGGTAAACAGAAGCATCCAGCGGAAGCGGAAGTTTTTTTTCTTCTTCTTCTCTCGGTTTTTTTGGCGAATTGCAACTTTAAGGTGCATACCGCCACCTACTGTACTCGCCGTGAAGTTGTTTGCGGCCTGCCAGTAAACCCAAAGCAGAAGAAGAAGAAGTGACGTCAGCGGCTCATTTGCCTAATCCACCCCCAGGAACTCATTTTGGTGTGAACGCAATCTGCTTTAGTTCATCAGAACTAAAAGAACTCTCATGAACTAAAGTTCTCATGAACTACTGTGGGAAAAGTACTTGGTGTGAACGCGCCTATAGATGCAGTTTAAAGAGTCCCTCTGTGTTTCCTCCACAGGAACATAGCTGCAGTTTAAAGAGTCCCTCTTTGTCTCCTCCACAGAAACATAGCTGCAGTTTAAAGAGTCCCTCTGTGTCTCCTCCACAGGAACATAGCTGCAGTTTAAAGAGTCCCTCGTGTCTCCTCCACAGGAACAGAGCTGCAGTTTAAAGAGTCCCTCTTTGTCTCCTCCACAGGAACATAGCTGCAGTTTAAAGAGTCCCTCTGTGTCTCCTCCACAGGAACATTTGTAGTGAATGTGGCTCAGACTTCCTATCAGGCAGAGGAGAACCAGAACATCACCCTGGAGTGGACCTTCAGCACCAGGACAGACACTTCACTCAGCAACATTTATACCCACTGTTACTTTTATACTAATGACCGAACCTCAGTTCTGTTTGAACTACGTGAAGGAGTTGAATTCCCAGAGTCTCAGGATCCAGAGTTTGCAGGACGAGTCCAGTGGGACAAAGACGTCCTCACAGAAGGACGCCTCACACTTCATGTCTCCAGACTCAGGACCAGTGACTCTGGGTTTTATCGGTGTGACATACTCGTCATACCTGGTGGGACTAACTCTAGGACATGCTGGCTGAATGTGACTGGTGAGTCGGCTCCGCACATATTTGTTATTAAGTTGAAGTTGAGAGTTTGGCAGGAACCAGAGACTCCAAACACAGGAAGTCGAGGAAGGATTGGCCTCTACTTTACACTGGGACATTAGCATGGAGATGTTTGTTTTGGTACCGCTGTACTATTTGTGTTGCTTCTTCTGAATATTGTTCTGTAAATAATTACATATGTTTTTTGTTTTTTTGTAGAAGCAAAACCCAACAGCACGTTGACGACAGAATTCCAAACAAATTCGCAAACTCCAGATCCAAACCAAGAGACGGATGTTAAAGGTGAGGAAAAAAACTCAGTCTTAAAGGTCCCATGTCATGACCATTTCTCTTGATCATAATTCCATTGTTGAGGTCTAGAATAGATTTATATCCATATATTTCCAAACTCACATTGGTTTCTCATACAGCATCTCTGTATTCACTCTCTGTCCTACACGGCTTGTTGGAGCTCCTGTGTGTGTGTATGCGTGTGTGTGTGTGTGTGTGTGTGTGTGTGTGTGTGTGTGTGTGTGTGTGTGTGTGTGTGTGTGTGTATTGAAGTAAAAAGATATGATTCTACACTGTATTGAAGTAAACATGTATTGTTTGAACTGTTTTAGGTAATCACAAACGGGTTTTGATAAGTCACTTAGAATAGGAATGTTATTCTTACTTCCAAACTCACTGATCCAGAGATTCTGTGTTTCATACACCAACCTTGCCTGGGTTTCACCCCTAAAAGCAGATGTCGTCATTAAGGTCGTTAAAGACAAACATTACATCCTTCTTATCATTCCTAAGAGCCAGATGCTGTTTTTAAGTCGTTAAAGACACATCGTTAAATAGGTGAAGAAGAGCATGGGAAGAGAATGTGGTGGAGATAGGGTGAAGATAAACGTTGACTTTTGACCTGGGGTAACTTAGGATCTCACATGCTGGGCAGACCTCTGATTGAACCCGGCCAGAAGCGAATCCAGCCAATCAGGACACTTGGGGGAGGTTAGCAGTTTAAACAGCTCCTCCCCAGGGGTTCTCTGATTCGCTTGGGAGAAAAGTGGGAAGGAAGAATCGACAAATCTCCGCCCCAAAGACAGATAGAAATACTGATGATTTTGAGTGTAAAATGCTTCTGGTCTGTTGAAAGCTGGTGCTAGAAGACGGTAAACCGCATCACAAACCTGGAGTCCATACTTCTCGTTTTCTGAAAGCTGGTCTGTCTACCTGTAAAACCGCATCATCAGGCCTGAAGCCCGGAGTGCTCGAGTACTCTGTATAACTTGTATATGTGTTTGGTTTCCTACTAGAAGTAAACTCAGATAATTTGTTATAACTTTGATTCCGGTGTTTTCAATTCCTTTCTTAATTTAATAGAGATCCAGCCTCATCCAACGAACGGCGCGTAGCAGAGGTATTCTACTCCAACAGTGTGTGTGTGTGTGTGTGTGTGTGTGTGTGTGTGTGTGTGTGTGTGTGTGTGTGTGTGTGTGTGTGTGTGTGTGTGTGTGTGTGTGTGTGTGTGTGTGTGTGTGTGTGTGTGTGTGTGTGTGTGTGTGTGTGTGGACTTAGTGACGCCAACGAGGCGTTCTGGGGCAGCATAGACAGGTCTTCTCTGTGTTAGAGTTTTACTCGCTACAGGGTGTACTTTGAGGGTTTGTGACTCTGCACACCGTTTGCATGCAGAAAAACCTTCATAACACACAAGGGGACGGGTAATAACCAGAAAAGCATGACATGGGAGCTTTAATATAAATAAAAAGACAGAGGCAAACACAGGTGTGATTTTATTTATTTTGTAGGAATGTTTTTGTAGCAGTTACTGAATATATTTCTCTGTTTTTCTTGTTTTTACATCAGTTGGTCAGCCTGAACTGTGGATCCTGGTTATCTCCGTCTGCATCGTACTCGTCATGGTAGTTGTTGGGTTTGGAGTTGCACATGTCCTTATAAAATGATGTGTAAGTGAGAAGGAAACCAAATGTTGTATCATTTGATGAAACCAATTCCTGCTGCTCAAAGTGGATTTGAAGAAGGAATCTAGAAGACAGGTTTGTGGAAAGAAGAACATCCTGCAGGACGTTACAGGAACTTTACATTTCTGAACACACGATCAGTCACTACATTAGAGCAGTGGTTCCCAAACGGTGTGCCGCGGCACAAGTAGGGATGCCAGAAACTGACCATGATCAAATTCGAAAATCGGACAGCCCTGGCGAATATTAATTGATTTGTGTAAATATTGTCTTTATTAATGTTTGGTTACGTGTTCTTCTCTCTGTGTCTTTGAATGCAGCACTTATACCAAAGCTAATTCTTCGTATATGTAAACGTACTTGGTAATAAAATCCATTCTGATTCTGAAAAAGTGCACTGAGGTTTGTCTCCCTCTAGTGATACCAAACAGAGCATGCATCCATAAAAAAAACAATAGATTTTGTTTAGTATTTATTATTAACAGGGAACATGGTTAAAAGTGTTTAAATGAATGTTAGTGACGAAAACGTTTTATTTTGTTCAATCATCTTAGAGTTTTAATCATTAATCACATCATCATCATCATACTAAGAGATGTTTATAAATGATAAAAAAAAATGTTAATTGATATTAAAATACTGTCTTTGTGAGATGCTATGTTTTCAGAAAGACATAAATTACACATAAATAATGTGTATATATAGATTGGAGATATTTATATGAGCATAACGTAATTTATAAATGTCCAATAAAAGAATACATGTATACAAACATAACAAGGTAAATTATGAATGTGACATAACAAATATTAAATAATATAAAAATATGTATATACATAATTTAAATAAAGGAGGTCTTTCCTTTTGTTTCACAACGGATGTTATTCGAGCAATAAGCGAGGCGTCAATGTGATCAGAAACAAACCTCTTAGCTGCGTTCACTGTCAGGTAATATTGTCACGGTAATTTTGTTTAGTATATTCTCTATTTATTACAACACAATTCCCTCTCGGTCTGTCTGAAATCAGCCAGATCTGCAGCTTCAGATCACATTGCATTTAGCTGCTTTCACATGTTGGCCTGAAACCACATCAAGATAATCGTTTTGAAGACAAAGCTGCATCTTGCACATCTCTGCAGAGACTTTGACAGAAGAACATCTGGACATGAAAGGTCATAAATGCTTTTAAGGTGATGCAAACATAGGGGAAAGTGTGAAAAGTAGTTTATCAAAGCTACGATGCAATGAGGTAGAGCTGCGTAAAGATGAGGATAATTCACCTTTGTTGGATAAAAGCATTTCTGTTGATTGCTGATCATTTTGAGTATTATTCATTACAGATTATTCCCTCGTTTAGTTTCCGCTGTGAAGATGCAACAGAAAGTTTCATGAAGCAAGGATAACTTTTAAATAAGAGAAAGTGAATAACAACACGTATAGTAGTTCAAACTATGCATACTTAAGACAAAGAAATAAAGAGATACAATCGTGCAAGCGACTTTACGCTGCTTGTAAAATGCATGAATTGGGGAAAATGTACATATTACTCCTTTAATTCTCTGAGTTATTTGTCCTATGATATTGTATTTTGTCTATTTACAATATCATAATAAGATAATTGAATTGTTTTAACTTTATACAAGTAGATGTTTAAAATAGCTCTATATTTGGTCTTTTATTACATCTTAATTCCAAAGCAGATTCCTTGACACTCAGTCTGCAATAAATCTGATTCTGATGATACGTAGAACATGATAAATAGAATAAATACTGTAATGATATATAGTCTACTCACCGAGCACCGTGCACAGTGTGGTGAGCTCCATGCTGACTGGCTGACTCTCATCATACAGTCACAGTTTTATTGAGGGGCAGCAGCTTCCTGCTTCTCTCTGTGTGAGATCTGTCACCACAGCCTCCATTTTATTGCTCTCATCATGGAGTGACCACAGCATGGCTCACTAACCCCATTCCAAACCGCCCCCTACCCACTCCCCCGGCCCTTATACAGAGTGAACTCCGTCAGGGTCTCTCAGCAGTGTTAATAAATACATCTGATTTCATAAACTGCTTCGTTTTTTAAACAGCCCCATACAAAATATGTATAATATTTTATAATAAAATTGACACATTTACCGTTTTCTAGACTAGACACGGGTATATGATCCTAAGTAAAACAAATATGAGGTAACCATGAAGTTGTAAACATAACCAGAACGGAGTAAACATGTATGTGACATGTGATCATGCTAAATAATAAAGACCCTTTGTCAGGGACGTTTCTAGGCGGACTGTGTGGATGCATAGGGCCGCCGTCTTTATGTGTAGACAGCCAAGCCCCCTGCTGTGTTCGGTGAAGCATTAAATGCTTAAAAATCAAATATAGGATATAAACACAACTAAACTGCAATGATAGCAAAGCTGTGGCTTGGGTTTGTGGGGATCAATAAAGTCCTAATCATCGTTGGGCTGTCATCCAATGAGTGACGTCTGAAGAAGAGGAAAAATTGAAATTATACATTGTTAAGAAAATGCTGCATCTCTTGCATTTATTGACGTAGAGGAGCTTTATTGTTTACCTTTTTAATACCATTTTTTGTAAGTTTCAATTGCTTGGTTTTCGTGAAGTTAGCCTGTTTTCCTCTTAAAGTGTAACAGATTGATGCATCTCCACAGATCATTTTAAAGGCTTCGGAATCCCCCCATTGTAGTTAAAAAAACTGTAAAAACTAGGGCCCCCAAACAGCATCTTGCATAGGGCCCCCAAAAAGCTAGAAACGGCCCTGCCCTTTGTGTTGTATTGTGGTTAGGGAGTGGTTTGGAACTGGGCCAAACACAAAGTGGTTGCTGGGCGGTAACGCGGTAACGTGTATAAAGAGTGCTGGAAAACACATGGCTCATTCATTCATTTAGTGGCAGTGGAGCTACTTTCTACTTTGAGACTTCATACACAACAGTTGTTATGGTTCACTTTGGGGTTTTCGTGCTGGGCTTCTCTTTGCCTTTCTGGAGCTTCACGGCAGGTCACACAGAGGATAAAGGTAAGCTCCGTTTATTGTTTCGCTTTTTATTCATTCAAGTCAACGGACGTTAACGGCTGTCAGAAGATAACTGTTAAAGACCACGAAAACCGACATATATCGTTAAACTCCGGTCAAACAGTGTCTGTCAGTTACATGTTTTATAAGTTTCGTTTGGTCAGTTTGAATTGACCCGCGTGGACAGCACATGCGTGCCTGCCAGCGTGTGATGATGACGCATTAAGTCAGGTGAAAATTGTGTACGAGCGTGATGACGCATCATTTGTCATCTTTGAAATGTTAATACTATCCCCTAATTTCGTTATTTTTTTCCTAATGTTATTTATATTTTATTTAGCGTTTAGAAATGTTTACAGAACGTCTTTTTATTGACACACAAAAAAAAACTTTCTTTACCGTCTCTGATTATGTGTGTGTATCAATTTATCAGCCGTTAAAAACCGTTAAACACTAACGTACGCTTTATTTCATTTTATCTCACAACAACATACTGTCCAATGTTTAGTGAACAAAAATCCTCCACTAGACAAACATTATACACAGAAATGTCAGAAAATGTTGTTTTTCTGCCTCTTAAATATGAACTAATCTGCTTTTCTTCATTTATATTTTAATGGGAACATATTGGGACTTTTAGACTGACATTTTGAAAAACTATGATGGACTTTCTTTAACTATTTAACGATTACTACTTAAAGAAATAGCCTTTTTGTGTGTGTTATTACTTTATTGTACTAGTTTTTAAATCCTTTAGTACTAATACTATCATGATCTAATACAACTCTGTTATAAGTAAAAGTCCTTACTCATTGGGAGTGGCACTGAAGTAAAAGTATTTAAGTATCTTCAGGAAAAAGTATTAAGAGTAAAAGTAAAGTACTCATGGAAACAATTACAAAATTCCTTTAAATAATATAAAGTACATTTTCACATTTGACAAACTTTATATTTGACTTAGTTTGTAGAGTAACCTATAATGCATGATGTCAACATATGTAATAAAGTTTAAAACATTTTCAAACAAATCTTAGTTGATTTATATAATAAAACGCTGAATAACTTATTTCCATAACCAGCTTGAAATAGACCCTTCATATTTCCCCTTATTATAATCAATCTGGGGTTTATGTTTTAAGGAATGAGCTGCCAACACCGTTTGAAACAAAATAAATGAAACCCTCTGGAGAGCTGTGATGAACGCTGTTTGTTTCTTAAAGCATATTGAATTATCGACCATAATTTAACTACATTTGATTGATTTAGCTAACTTATGACTTCCCTTATGAGGTAATACCTCTCCTCTAGTGAGGGGCCCAGGCCTTCGTATGTCTTTCTGTATGTGGCGCTGAACCACAAAAAGTTTGGACACTAGAGCTTTCTTTCCCGGGGGGGTGTTAACATTCATTAGACCTAGAACTGAAAGTGTTTTTTTTCAAAATTGTATATCTGGAGCCCGTCCAACATGTTATCTGATAAGCAGGACGGTTAAACTTCTGGCGGGAAAATGCGTCCATTGTTCCAGATTCAAAACAAGAAGACAAAGTTCACTCCTGTGTTTTGTGATGTGATTAAGTGCAATTTTTTATCACAAAATGTATTGCATTACATGTCACTTGTTAGACGCTTTTCCCCAAAGCGACTTGTATACATTCAGTACTGGGCAATCACAGGAGCAGTTTCGGGTGAAGGGTCTTTCCCAGTGACACAACGACATGCTGTGGGGATTGAACCAGTCCAAATGCGACCACAGCTAAACATTAGCATTTAGCCGGTTTCAAATGTTGGCCTGAAACCACAACAAGATAATCGTTTTGAAGACAAAGCACAACATTCTGAGTTTTTCTCAAAATTCTGAGTTTTTCTCAAAATCTCAAAATTCTGACTCACGTCTGTGAGTTTAGACCGGAAAGTTACATGTTTGACAAGTTATATCATTTTAAGTTTCTCTTATCGACTCTAACCGCTCCTTTTTCTTTTTGAATGGACCCACGTGCTCAAAGCACGGCTCACGGGGAAAATGTGTACGTGCGTGATGACGTATCACGTTGTCATCTTTTCATTGTAATACTATCTCGTAATTTTGTTGATGTGATTTTATTTCTATGTTATTATGCTAACAGTAAATACATACCAGAGTCTATAATAAGTAAAAGTCCTCACTCATTGAGAGTGGTACGGAAGTAAAAGTATTTAAGTATCTTCAGGGAAAAGTATAAAGAGTAAAAGTAGTCATGGGTGTAATAATATCTGACTCCTCTCCAGGTCATACAGGGACTGTTTAATGAAAGCTGATTCAATATCTGAGTCACAGCAGAAATCATTCTAGACTATTCTAGACTGATTTCAAGACTCATCCTCATTTATTTCCCTGAGGGGGTGTTAACAATAATTAGACCCAGAACTGACGTATTGTTTATTTTCAAACTTAAATCTTTGGAGCCCGTCCAACATGTTATCTGATAAGCCTGACCGTTAAAACTGGCGGGAAGATCAGCCACTGAGCCACAGCCTCACAGTATGCCCACAAAATACAGTCCAGACTCAACTCATGCTATCACTGAGTTTTGTGACCTTAAAGGGCCCATGTCATGGCCATTTCCACTGATCATAATTACATTGTTGAGGTATACTAAAATAGATTTATACTGTGCAATTTTCCAAACTCACATTGGTTTCGCATACAGCATCTCTGTCAAGCATGTGTATTCAGCAGTATTCACTTTCTCCACTAAACGACTCGTTGGAGCTCTTGCCCCCCCCTCCCTGTGAGCCTAGTGTGCTCCGATTGGTCAGCTCGGCCACTCGTTCTGATTAGTCAACCACCAGAGAGGCTGCGCCCATGTCAGTGCTTTTCCCGGCTGCTCTCAGCGTAACATCAGTCTTATCATGGCGTCGGTACAGCGGTATATTTTATATACATATATATTTTTAACTGTTGTTATAGAAGAGTGTGACGGCCTCAGGGCCTTTGTCTTACGGTGGGGTGGAGCTGAAGAGGGTAATCAGCGCGATCACGGACACCTCCGTAGCCGGTGCTATTAATCCCAGCGGCCCGGAGTCTCTCTCCAAAGCGGCTGCAGAAGGACGAACTGAGCGACCCTCTCCCCACGACCACCTGTCTCTGCATTTACTACAATAAATGTGCCGTGGTTTTGTAAACTCGTGTATGTCTCCTTGTCTTTCCGTTGTGGCCTACGAGCTACTCTCATAACAAAGAGTAAGTTATTTTTACCCGTTATAAACTACTACTGTTTGATGAGAAATCAAATCATGGTTTGCTATATATGAATTCAGGGAAGAAAGGATAGGCCTACTAAGTATTTCCATTAAACTTTATTTTTAGAAATGTACAAAATGAACATAAATATACATATATACACGGTATATCATCCATTCCTCCTCCTCGCATCTTGCCTGCGCACAGTCGGTGCGGTGCCTTTTAGCACCCTCAGTAGTAGTAGAATCCCTTCCCCGTCATGGATTGTCCGCCAGGATCTGGCTGGACGAAATCAAATGCAAATCACAAAATATTAGAGAAACTTAGTTGTTTTAGATTCGTTAGTAGTAGTTGTGTAATGAACAGCTTGCCTGCTAATATGCTAACCTAGCTTTGTTTACCTTGGTAGCTAACACGATATGAACGTTAGCTTGGAGGAAAGGCAACTATAATGCAGTGTAATAAAACTACTATGAACAAAAGCTAGTGGTTCATATTAGGCTAGCAATAACGTGTTTATAATTGCAATCGTATACGGGTATTCTGCTACGTTCGGTCATACAATGTAACTTGCATGAATACATTGTTTTGCGCTAGCATACAGCTAGCCTCGTTAGCTACATGCAGTATATGTACGGTCACAATGTACGGTAAATCACAGTACAGTATACTGTATGAGTATTCCGTGTGTGTGACTGCAGACATTCTCCTGCCATGACAAACATGTAAGGCCATCTGCTGACATTGTAGTTGATATATTTAAACGCTAGCAACGTAGCATCACAAAAATGTTTTTCTGACCGAAACTAGCTCTAGCTCCGTGTGTTAGATCGCTACGCCAGCTATAATGTAATTACGTTTCGCGACTGACCGGCAAATCACCCGGAGTATACTGTCAATAGGTATTTTGTGTGTGAATGCAGACATTCTCCTGCTATGAGATACATGTATGCAAGGCCATCTGCTGATATTAGAGTTGATATATGGAAACTCTAGCAACTTAGTTAGCACTGTGTCAATGGCTTAGCAGTCCAACACAGTTTACACATTTAAACAGTCTTGTTTGATAAATACACAAATAACAATGCAAACTTACAGGTTGTATACCCAGATCTTCCCCTGCTCCAAACGGTCCAAACAAGCTGTGCATATCCGGCCTCAAACTGGGCAATGTTTTGGAAGCTTTCGTCTGTGAAATGCCGGTTCTTCGAACCTCTGGAGGAGGAACACGACGCTGCTGGTGTGGCCATAGCTCTTCGGGATTGGTCCATTTCGTTCCGGGTACCGCATGACATCAGGCGGTACCCGGAACTAAATGGAAGAATCAAATGGGCAGTGACGTATCTCCAACGAGGCGTTTTGAGGAGGTATTTTCTGTGTTAGAGTTTTACTCGCTACAGGGTGTACTTTGAGGGTTTTGACTCTGCACACCGTTTACATGCATAAAAACCTTCATAACACACAAGGGGACGGGTAATAACCGGAAAAGCATGACATGGGAGCTTTAAATCACCCACTTGAAAATGTTTTTGTTCTGCCTCTTAAATATGAACATTATCTGCACAAATCCAATGGAGAAATCCCATTGGACCAGGGAGATGCTGCCTCCAGAGATACTTCATCCTTGCACCGCTGTATTTAGCAGCAAGATTATAGTTAATCAAAAATAAGACTTGACTCCTATTTTTTAAGGTTTATATTTCCCCTCTGTGTTTTGGATTGTGATTGGTCAGACGCTGAGAGATGTCACGTACAATGTGTTGAAGTGCTAGCCAATAGGAGCACGAGTGTTTATATTTACAATAGGTTTATATTTCCCCTCCGTGTTTTTCAGGGCGTCATCTGGTTGGACCACGACAGCCAATCGAGGCCTCTGAGGGCGATGACGTAATCCTCCCGTGTTCTGTGTCGCCCGACTATAACGTTGAGGATCTGACCGTGGAGTGGTCCCTTCCCGACCTGAAGCCCGACCCCTCGGACCGCCTCAGCCGCGTCGAGTACGTCTTTGTGTACCGGAGGAGGAGAGAGGAAGTGGACATGAAGCTGCAGAAGTTCGTCGGGAGGACGGAGCTGTTCGAGGACGAGCTGAAGGTCGGAAACATCTCGTTAAAGATCAGCAACGTGACGCTCGCTGACGCCGGAAAATACCGATGTTTCATCCCTAAGTTAAAGGGCCGCGTGAAGGAGGCGGTCGTACGACTCGTTGTTGGTGAGAAGATTAAGATGTTTGTTTGTAATGTTAGCGCTGCACTATTTTTGTAGCTGCTTCTTCTTATTAATATATATATAATATATAAAGACATATAAATGTGTCTGTTGATTATCTGTGTAGGATAAACATTTTTGTATTCTGGATTGTGGAAACGGTATTTCGATGTCTCTGTCTGTACACACAAACTGAAAGATTGACAATAAAGTTGACTGACTTTGATATTGTTCTGTAAATAATAACAAATGTTTTTTGTTTTTTTTAGAACCCAGAGCCAACATCACGTTGACGACAGAAACACAAACGAATTCGCAAACTCCAGATCCTAACCAAGAGACGGATGTTAAAGGTGAGGAAAAAACAAAAAGTCTTAAAATAAACTAAAAGCAAACTGATGAAAAAACAATTTGTTTTTATAGCAGTTACTGAATATTTTTCTCTTTGTTTCTTGTTTTGACATCAGTTGGTCAGCCTGAACTGTGGATCCTGGTTCTCTCCGTCTGCATCTTACTCGTCATGGTAGTTGTTGGGTTTAGTTATTTCCTTATAAAACGATGTGTAAGTGAGAAGGAAACCAAACGTTGTATCATTTGATGAAACCAATTCGTGCTGCTCAAAGTGGATTTGAAGAAGGAATCTAGAAGACAGGTTTGTGGAAAGAAGAACATCCTGCAGGACGTTACAGGAACTTTAAGTCTCTGAACACACGATCAGCCACTACATTAGAGGACATCGACTTCGTGGCAGCGCTGCTTTAAATGTTGGATTTGTTTTTAAATCCACCGACAGACAAAAGGAATTATATTTGTAAAGGGTTTATTTTGTTGCCCTCAAACCTTTTTTTATTGTCCCTCGTCCTCTTCTTGCCTGAAGGAGTGTATATTTACAATATACATGTTTTTTTCACTATATTGTCCCACAGAACAGCGATGCCTGTTGCACTGAATGATTGTGGGTTCAAACGTCCTCGTCTAACAAGTTTTTGCACTTAAACTAAATTGAATCAGGATGCACCTCACAAAGTACTTCTAAAGTAGGGTTTAGCATTCAACGTTAGCTTGTGTTAAACACAGCTTGCTAAGATCTCACCTGTGAACGTATGTAATACTATATCTGCCTGTTGGATTGGTGATTATTAACGAACATAACACACCTCCAAAAGCAATAATCTATGTTGATACAATTCGAAAATATTGTGAATGATTAAGACGATACTAAATGTACATCATTCAAGTGACGCGATGAATGTTTATAAAGAAAAGAAAGGAACAATTTAAATGTGAATGGGGTTGCTGTTATTACATTTATTAATGTGCAGCAAGGAGAGCAAACTTTATATGGAAATCATTTCAAATGTTGTTTATTATTTTGTTAAGGTCTTTTTTACAACCAGGGGAAACGGATAAATGTTCCCTCCTATTGAAGCGGATTATATTCTGTAAAAGTGTTAAAACTGTGAATATGATGTTTTTTTTAGGATATGTTGTTCTGCTATTTTGTATTTTTTTTTATAAAGACTGATTGTAAAACCATATGGAAGGTATTTAATTAATTAAAATGCAGTTTCCGCACACTGTTCATAATGAAGACATGCTTCAGTTAAATGTCTCTATTCTGTTTTAGCACTGAATAAAAAGAGGCATTTAAAGGGGAATGTTTGTTCCTCTAGGGGTCTTCAGGAGATGTTCACAAGTCTCTACGCTGAAATAAATGTTGAAAATAAATATTTCTTTGAACACTACTACGTGTGTGTCTGCTGTGTTTTTACATACATGTGTCATCAGGACAGCTTCTGAGTTATATCCATCCCATAATAACACTATGCATTACGTTAATGCGCATCATGGGGACAACATCTTGTTCTTTTTTAAATGTGTAAATCCTGCACATCTCTGCTCCATGCTACCTCTTTGAAATCAGCACAACTCTCCACTTTAATACTGTATATTGTCATACTTTATTATATTTTACTGCATTCAGTTCCCCACATTATATTTTGTGTAAATATTGTCTTTATTAATGTTTGGTTACGTATTCTTCTTCCTGTGTCTTTGAATGCAGCACTTATACCAAAGCTAATTCCTTGTGTAAATACTTAACACAAAAAGTAAGGACATTTGTGTTTGGTAGATATTGCTTTGTTGTAACAACGCTTTTTTGACAATAAGTCTTATACCGTCGAAAGCCTGTTATCTTACTTTTCTAATGGTACCACATTTGTGAGGAACAAACATTTTTGTCGGATGAGCAGCAGAGTGGAGTCTGTGGGTTACGCCCATGAACAATGTGAAAAATCTCCCCTGCCAATGCCAAACAGCAGCCACTCCCCGGCCTCTACGGCGGCCTGGAGTCCGGTCTGGACTGCCTTCCCCTTCCGTTCTGTCAACAGCACTTGGGTGGTGGGGTCAAGATGCTGCATGGTATGGTTTGCCTGCAGTCCTGACATCGCGCAACACATGACTCATTCCTTCCTTGAGCAGCAGTGGAAATACTTTAAAATCTTCCAGACTTTAAACAGAGAGTTTTTATGGTTCACTTGGGGGTTTTCGTGCTGGGCTTCACCTGGACTTTCTGGAGCTTCACGACAGGTCACACAGAGGATGAAGGTAAGCTCCATTTATTGTTTCGCTTGTTATTCATTCAAACGGCTGTCAGAAGATAACTTTTAAAGACCACACAAACCGACTTATGTCGTTAAACTCCGGTCAAACAGCGTCTGTGAGTTTAGACCAGACCGTTACATGTTTTACAAGTTATATCATTTTAAGTTTCTCTCAACGTCTCGACTCACCGCTCCTCTTTCTGTTTGAATCGACCCGCGTGCACTTGGGTGATGACATATCACGTTGTCATCTTTTCATTGTAATACAGTATTACTAATACTATCTCCTCATTTTGTTGATGTGATTTTATTTCTACGTTATTATGCTAACATACCAGAGTCTAATAAGTAAAAGTCCTCACTCATTGAGAGTGGTACTGAAGCAAAAGTGTTTAAGTATCTTCAGGAGAAAGTATATAAAGAGTCAAAGTACTCATGGCTGTAATGATATCTGACTCCTGTCCAGGTCATACAGGGACTGTTTCATGAAGGCTGATTCAATATCTGACTCGCAGCAGAAATCACGCTAGACCAGGGGAGTCAAACTCAATTTCATCGCGGGCCCCATCAGCATTATGGCTGCACTCAAAGGGCCGGTTGTAACTTTAAGAATATATAAAAATACATATATAAATATATATATAAAATAATGCATTATATAACATGATTGCCTCTGCATTAGATTATTATCAGATAGGGTAATAACTTCATAATTAACTACGCCTGAAAGCAGAAGTCTAGGGCAAATCATTGCAAGTCTCTTCAGTGAGCATGTCACAAAATGATTAAAAAAGAAAAGCCAAATTCTGGAAAAAAGTGACATTTAAAAAAGAAGAAGTGAGAATTTGAAAAAAAGAAGTGAAATAAAATAAAAAAAGTTCTGAGAAAAGGTCTAATTCTAAGAAAAAACGTCAAATTTGAGATGCATTGTGGGACATGTAGTTTATGGGCAACGTGCTTCTGTAAATCATCATGTAACCGTATAATAAACATATCATATTCTTTGCAAGCTCTTGTGGGGCCACAGAAAATGAACTCACGGGCCAGATTTGGCCCCCGGGCCTTGAGTTTGACACCCCTGCCATAGAGGCTGAATCATCATGTTAATCACATAGCTATCATATGCCTCAAACAGTCCTGATGCTCTTCTAGGTAATCAGACATCCTGTCATGTTCACAGCTACAGTTGGGATACCTTTGTTATCATGTTACTCTGATATTGGAAGAGTACATTCACTATTTGTCTGTTGATTGTGTATATACATGTTTTTATACATTTTTGTATTCGGGATTGTGGGAAACGGTATTTCGATGTCTCTGTCTGTACACACAAACTGAAAGATTGACAATAGAGTTGACTTTGACTTTGATATTGTTCTGTAAATAATAACTAATGTTTTTGGGGTTTTTTTAGAACCCAGAACCAACATCACGTTGACGACAGAATTACAAACGAATTTGCAAACTCCAGATCCAAACCAAGAGACGGATGTTCAAGGTGAGGAAAAAACCAAAAAGTCTTAAAATAAACTAACAGGAACAAGCAAACACAGGTTTAATAAAGACCGCATTATTAAAAAAACGTTATAGCAGTTACTGAACTACGGATGCTGTGTAACACAACGCAGGATGTTTATTTTGTAAATTGTATAACTTTCTTTTTTACTTTAATACTTTTGTATGCATGTAACATATGTAACATAAAGCATACATGCCAACCTTTCCCAATCCAAAAGAGGTAGGTTTGCGCGCGGCTAATGTGCACGCCCAAATCAGGTAATCAGAAGAAATGGAACCCCAGTATTTACATACCATGTATTTAACATATATTGCTTCATTTTATGCATTTTTCAGGAAAAGTGGTAGTTTGGTAAACAGTGACATCAACGACATGTTTGGTCTGTACAAAACCCGAAAAGTAAAAGAATGGGAGATAAATATCCCAAAGTCTCCACATTTTATTATATTTTGTGTGTGTTTGTGGTCCTCTTTCAGTTGAGACACTAGAGCCTCATCTCAATACCCCTCCTCGACTCCTCCTTTCCCTCACTCGCGTCCCTTCCTTGCGTCTTAGCTCCGCCTCCGTAAGATGCGAGCGAGAGACACGAGGAGGAGACGCGAGGACAGAGGAGTCCTCAGGTATTAATTGGGACGTCCTCGTTCACTCAAACGTCACTCTTAAACGACGTCTGTTAATGATGACATGTGCACAGCTGTATCCCCTCTCATCGGGCTTAACTGAATAACCCCTTAGAACCGGCCCATTTGTTGTTAAATATTTATTTAAATTAATGAATCTTTCTCTTGTTAGTCAAGGAATTCAATGTATGATGGTTGGTCCTGCTTTTGTGTTCCGTTTTGGTGTAAAATGTACATTTCAATACAATTATAATTATAGTAATGTGAAAGCCTTTACTCTGAACATGTGTGTCCTGTAGATCCCCACATTCACCACAAACCCACATTCAGGACTGTGCATTTTAAATCATTTAACTTCTCAATATTTTAACACAAAACAAAACAAATAATTGTTATTTATCAAGATCTAGCCATTTATGAAATAGCTTTCTTAATAGCTATGTTTTAGTGACGTTCAAGATTATTAAACATGACTTCAATTGTTAGTATAGCCTAACCTTAAGAAATGAATTGCACATAATAATTCCCACGGAGCTGTGAGCACTTATACATTTATGTGACGCTTTTCCACTCATTCTTCCAGTTCTCCGTTTTCCTCTGTTGAAATCGACCAGCTGTGAAGGTGGGGGCGGGGCTTTTATACGCGAGTAGTGAAAACACTTCCGCGTAGTCTGCTCTCGTGTATCCTCCCTTTCGTCTCCTCCCGCACCCCTCCTCCCTCACCCCTCCTCGACTCCTCCGTGTGCATTTCAGCTATTGGGACGTCCTTCAAAATGGCGTGTCTTGATCGATTTCCGGGTCAAGTCCCGGAGGAGGGGAAGAGAGGAGTCGAGGAGGGGTATTGGGATGAGGCTTAGGTGAAGGATGCTTGAGGAAAAGACCAAACACTGGATGTCTTTCAGTCGCCAACATGTGTTTTCGAGACACTGATATTAACGGGGAAACGCTGCAGGACTCAAATGCCTCGTCTCTGTTCCCCTAAACTCATTTGGGAGTGATTACCCATCAGCCCCGGGGGTAACGCTGCCCTTCCTCTGAAGTTGTTTCACTTTCAGAAACACAGAGGACTGTTTGTATGATGGGATCACAGACACGCTGCAAACGGTGTCCGCTAAAAGTCGAGTCCAGTGTCTATGGAGTGTCATTTTTTATTTTTTATAATTTGGGAAGATTGAAATTCAGCTAAGTCGGTAGGCGGTAGAAACATGTCAAAAGCGGTAGACTACCGCCCAAATCGGTAGGGTTAGCAGGTATGTACTGCTATCACGTCAGATTCTCCAAACACCAGAAAAGTCTCCAATAACACCAGAAAAAGTAGCTGGATTTGTCGCTAGTCGCTTTTGACAAAAGAAAGTAGCCGGAGGGTTTGGAAAGTCGCCCGATTTAGCGAGAAAGTCGCCAAGTTGGCAACACTGCGCCGTTGGGGAGAAAATCAGCGACGTTAACGGTGACGTCATGACGCAGCACCAGTCGGGCTCTGGGCGGTGTGAACAAAACGGGGGCTGAAAAGAAAAACCGGTTCCGAACCAGAAGAGCACAAGCACGGAGCTAGAACGGGAACCGCGTTGGTGTGAACAAATGTTGGGACATACTTTCACGCCCTAATTAATAGGAATATGTTTTTAGAATCATACTGGACTGTGATGAAATATTATGGTTGCTTTCAATGTGTTAAAGATGTGTCTACATAACAAAAGAGGTAGATATGAACGGTGTGGGTAAACTGATAAAGATCTCAGATTCACACTTATCATACTTCTCTTTCGATGCCACTCATTAATAGGGCTCTGCTGAAAGTAAGACGTGCATCACATCGGAGAATCTCTCGTCAATCAAGATCCGGAAAGAGAAGTGAAGAGCCCTGAAGAGCAACCACTGTCTACGTCTGATAGGAACAGGCCTCACTGAGATATCATCATGTCAGGTGAATGCATTTTTAATAACTGGTGATGTTCTGAGGACATGGCATCAGTATTCTTATGCAGCAGTTGGCTTGGAAGCAAAGAGTGGATTGCACCTTGAATCTGTAAATGTGCTAAGTGTTTCTAAAAGGGAGTGAACTACCTGTTAAGACCAGCAGAGGGCATACCAACCATTACCGACCGACTCATCTTCCCCAACGCAATGGAGTTAGACTGATTTGTTGTGTTGTTTACAGCATTGTAATACATCCATATTTTATAACAGCTTTCATTGTTTAACTGAATACAGATGTACTGTAACGTAGCTCCTGAAATTGGTTGAGATGATTACATGTTTTTTTAAATGTAATTGTTGAATGCTGCAGCCAACACAAACCGTTGTGTTCATCACCTCTACAGTTTCAATGTAAGCAATACAGTGTGTCTCAATGGGCAGGGATTACATCTGAAATGAGTCTTCAATGTGGAATGTCTTTGTTTGCAGATGATTACGGAAATTCAACCGACTACTATTACGACTATTACGACTATTACAATGGAACTGGGGAAGACTTCGCTCCGTGCAACAATGCTGATTTGAGGAATTTCAGCAAAGTGTTTCTGCCCACTCTCTATAGCTTTGTTTTCGTCCTAGGCTTCTTAGGTAAGAGAGTGTGTGTGTGTGTGTGTGTGTGTGTGTGTGTGTGTGTGTGTGTGTGTGTGTGTGTGTGTGTGTGTGTGTGTGTGTGTGTGTGTGTGTGTGTGTGTGTGTGTGTGTGTGTGTGTGTGTGTGTGTGTGTGTGTGTGTGTGTGTGTGTGTGTGTGTGTGTGTGTGTGTGTGTGTGTGTGTGTGTGTGTGTGTGTGTGTGTGTGTGTGTGTGTGTGTGTGTGTGTGTGTGTGTGTGTGTGTGTGTGTGTGTGTGTGTGTGTGTGTGTGTGTGTGTGTGTGTGTGTGTGTGTGTGTGTGTGCGTGTGTGTGTTGGTACACATGGTAATCTTTCCCCTCCCTCTCTCAAGGCAATGGCCTAGTGGTGTGTGTCCTGGTGAAGCATCGGCACCAGACCAACTTGGCAGAAATCTGCCTTTTCAACCTGGCTCTCTCCGACCTCCTCTTCGTCCTCACGCTGCCTTTCTACTCTCACTACGCCCGGGTCGCTCAATGGACCTTCGGAGACTTTCTGTGCCGCTTGGCCTCCGGCTCCCACAGCACTGGTTTCTTCAGCAGCATCTTCTTCATGGTGGTCATGACGCTTGACAGCTACATGGTCATCATGCACGCTCACAAGGTGGCACGGTCTCGCACCCTGCGGTCAGCCGTCGCCCTGAGCGTGTTCGTCTGGACGCTGAGCTTCTGCATCTCTCTGCCGCATGTCATCTTCACGAAGGTGACACACGAGTCCGATGCGGTGGCTTGTAGTTACGAACCAGAAAACGATGACTGGAGGCTTTATGACACCTTCACAATGCATGTGTTGGGTCTAGTGATCCCTCTGCTGGTGATGATCGTTTGCTACTCAAGGATCCTCCCCATGCTGGTGAACATGAGGAGTGCTAAAAAGCAGCGTGTCGTCAAGCTGATCCTCTCCATTGTGATCACCTTTTTCTTATTCTGGGCCCCGTATAACCTTTCCCTGTTCTTGTGGTTTCTAAAGGCTAAAGGGTTATTGCCAAACAAATGCAGCGTAGAAACCCATTTAATGCTGTCAATAACGGTGACTGAGACCGTGGCTTACACTCACTGCTGCCTGAACCCCATCATCTACGCCTTTGCGGGACAAACGTTCATGAAGCGAGCGCTGCCGCTGCTGAGGAAATGTGTGCCCGGGGTTCTTCTGCCTTCCAACAGAGACTCCTCAGAGAGCTCATACAGGAAGAGCTCAGTGTCTCGGTCCTCTGATGTCCCCTCCATCATGTAAAAGGTGTAGGGCAGATTATGTTATGGTTTTATGGACCATGAAGAGTCCACATGTGGGTTTCAAATGTCCATTTAACAATGTCCGACGGTCTAATTGTCCGTCTAATGTAATATTTAAAAATATAAAGACAAAGAACAGAACGCAAATTGATCATTTTGAGCATTTTATTTTTCATATGTATTTGTTGAGTTTTTTTCTGTGTATCTATATCATCACATTACTATGTTTTAGCTTAACTTAACTGTAATATGTTCTTTCTACATTTCAAACCCCACTTACAAAAAGGGGCTGCAACGGATCTGATAAAAACTGATCCAGATTTGAACACTGTCCTGACGTCAGGACGGTGGCGCTACGGCTATTGGGCCAACTCTCCACCTATCAGGGGAATGTGGGGTTGGGCCACGGCCGGCCATTGCCGCTCGAAAGCGCTGGAGACGCTGTAGTACATATGCCAGGCCTGTAAGTGGCGCTGTAGTCTGCCACAAAAGCAGCGAAGAAGACTTCCCGCCCTTAGTTGTTCTGTCTATGTTTGTTGTTCTGTCTATGTTTTTAATGTTTCATGTGGAACCTACTTGAGCAGGTCTCCCTTGAAAAAGAGATCAATGATCTCAATGGGATACAACCTGGATAAATAAAGGTTTGAAATGAAATGAAATGAGTTACCATGGTTACACTTCTGTTTATTCTCCGCTGTGGCTTTTTTTCTCCCTCCCCGAGGCAAGCGTTTGCTCCCGCTGCTTTAATTCAATGCAATCCCTCCCCGTCGAGGCAAGCACTGTAACTCTCTCCGGTTAGTCCACCAGCAGATGACAAACACCCACCTCAAGGCAAAACAAAACACCTGAAAAAACAAGATTTGAAACTGAAAAAAGAATTGTGTTGAATCTGAAAACGTAAAATCTGCAACTGAAAAAAATAAGGATTCAAATATCAAAATATGTATGAAAGTGAAATATGAAAATAAATATTTTATCCAAAGAAATTGCTGAATTGAATCAAAATAATATTCAACTTGAAAAATTATTGGAATGGAAAACCCCTGAACAACTGAAAGCAGTGTGTTTTTGAGGGTGACACACACAAGTTGTATCACATCAGAGTGCTGTTTTGAAATGAAAACCTCGCTTCATACTGTATCTGCAGTCAGAAAAGAACGGTGACCTTTGCTGGCTAACCATAGACGGAAAATTGGAAATCTTGACATTGTGTGGGTGGACGATCATGCAGACTGCATGGGGCCTCACCTTGCGGAGGGGGCCTCAACTGAGCCGAAAATGCGGCGCAATTAGTGAGGCGCGGCACGGTTTTGCCGCTGCGAGGCTCCACTAGCACCCCCCCCCCCCGTCGACGCTCACGAAACAGAGGGCCTCATCATATAACTTTGCGTGGGGCCTCATGTTGGCCAGGGACGGCCCTGTGTGGGTGATTCTCTGAATCGGGTGCCTTTTGGGTCTTTACATTTTTGAAAAATTAAACCAAAATGTTTGCATTTCTGATCATAACATCTGGTAGTGGACTACTTAAGCCTTTGAGAAAATGTTCCCACCTCAGGCACAAAATCCAAATAATTACTCGGAATTTCCTTGAAAAAATGTGACAGGGTTGAATGTGACGCCGGGGTTGAAGTTTTTTGACAAAATGTAACCATGAGACCTTTTTTAGCTAAGATATAGCACTACATGGAAGTTAAGGACATTACAAAATTGTAATATTTTGCAAAACTATTGTTTATTTTTTAATAAACAATTATTGACTATTATTAATTCATATAACAGAGTTGACATGTTGAGTTTGTCAATCTTAATCTGACAATAAAAAAACTGAAATATAGGTAGAAGATACTGACACTTGGTTTTCTTTGCCGTCTAATCTTCAGAAGACTTTTGTGATGTAATTCCCTCAATGCAGATGACACATGGACTGATCCATTATTGTAATAGGAGGGTAAATGTTATGGCGTGACGGGGTCGAAACAAACTGAGGGACGTGAGTCAATTTAGCAATTTCGTAGTATTTTTTCAGATTTTTCTTTTGTTCAGTTAAAGTTGACAAGCATATGATTATATTAGCAGCAACATTTTGGGATAATTGGCCATTTTGTTCTGTTTGATTTTTTGATTTTTTTGTTTTGTTTTGTTTATTTATTTAAAGGACAGTGCACATTAATCCACATTGCTGTAAATGAGCCAGTATTAGCCAGCAGGCTAATTTTCAACTGTTGTCCTTGGCAAGATGTTAAATGACCACAACAAGACTATATTCAATGAATATGTAATGATGCTTTGTGAGGACATGCAAATATGTCTGTTGTCTACTACTAAGACAACACATTTTTTTAAAACAAAATATATATATATATATATTTAGTTTTACATTGCAATGCAAAACAACCTGTTCCATTAATTAATTGCTTTAAAATACATTTTGTAGTACTGCATGCAGTTTTCTTTTCGGCCAAACTGTATACAGTTAAATCGACCGGACTTCTTTCTGCAGATGTGAGCGTCCTTAACAACGGTCAATAAATCCTTGACAGCGGGCTGTACTACTGGATTAACAACGTGTCACATGTTCTGAATTGACCAATCAGAATCGAGTATTCAACTAAACCATAATAATGTTTTTTAACGCACGTCGGCTGATTATATAATCATATGCGGGCCGCTAGAGTCTGTTGATATGCTCTCCAGATTAGCAGCAGCATGAAAATAACATGCCGATGCTCCATGGTGGAGGCTCGGGTAGAAATGGCTGGGATTTGTGGTTTTACCCCCTTAATGTCTGACCAATCGTTGAACAGCATTTACGAGCACATGACTTGTGTTTAAAATGTATAGTCCGTTTGAGTTTTGCCCGTGTGAACTCAAACCGAACCTTCTGAAAAATGAAACAATGTAACACACTGTCGTCTGGTGCGCACCTGAAAACGGACTATTAGGTTTGAATGCGACCTAAACAGTCCACTAATCAGACAGAAAACAGGAGGTTTTTAATAAGGGACTCCAGCAGACAGACAGCTCTGAGGCCAATGAGATAGAAACATGACATCTATCAGTCACATCAGTAAATGAGACTCCATCCCCCATGTAACATCTGTAAAGTGTTATATCTATATTTATTTATTTCAGTCACTGTGAGTTTCATCATTTGGCTGTAAGGTCATTGATCCTTCTTCTTATTCTTTATATACGTGTTACACGTTATTTAAACCACTGGGGTACAGGGTCTCTGAGGACTTTATCTCAACTCTCCCAGTTCTACAGCCTGAACTACGCCTATATACTATATATACTGCAAAGTGAATGCTTCACACCAGGACGGGGTGTGTACATACTCAGACCACAGAAAACCGACAGCAGGAACACCCCCTTCTCTGATTCTGCATCAAGACAGCCTCGTTAAAACACCAACTATAGCTTCATCGGACATATTCACCATGACTGAAAACACAACTGTCAGAAGTTTACAAATGTTATAGTCTTTGTCAGCATCTTTTGAATTATAAATATTTCTCTTTTACCGTTTTGTGTTAATTATTAGGGTCTAAATGAGCTAATGGATTTTTACATCAAGTGCTTGAGGGTGGGATTAATAGAAACATCTTTCTTTGGGGGGATGCTTTGTATGGCAGGCCTACAGTATAGTTGCAGAAACAGCATGTGACACCCGTGTGAAAATAACCACAGAGAGCTGATGTCAACATATGCTCAGTCTTTACTTCTGCTCTTGTGATAAAGGACAGGTCAGCTAGGACACACATCTTCTTTCTCCCTTGCAAAGTGTCACACTGTGGGAAGTCATATTGTCCTGATGGCATTTTTAAAAGTCTTCACTGACACTGAGAGCAGTGGACTTGAGCCAACAAGGAGAGCCATACGCTGCAAAAACTGTATTTGCATGGGGAGTCGTAACAGTTAAACAAACAACTCATATTCATTTCAACATAGAGCAGTTATAGTAAACATAAACTGCTATTATATTGTTTGCTATATTGATACCTTAGACCAGGGGTGTCAAACTCAATGCCCGGGGGCCACATGCGGCACGCAAACCATTTTGAATCGGCCCTCACTCAATTAAAAAAGTATAACGACTTAAGTATAATAAACATCTGCTTGTCTTATATTGTACTTCTTAAATATATGTGTTCAAATATGTTACACAGTATTCATGTGTTAATAAGCCACATTTTCAAATACATTCAGTCATTTAAAGTTGAAAACATGTTCTAACAAATCTAAGTTGATAAGAAAAAAGCCCAATAACAAATATACATAACAACCTTGAAATAAACCTTTCATATTTCCTCTTATTATAAGAAATCTGAGGCTTCTGTTTTAAGAAATGAGCAGCTAACAAACTAAATGAAACCCTCTGGAGAGCTGGGAGCTCTTTTTTTCTTAAGGCATTTTCAAGTATCAAGAATCATTTACTTACATTTGAATGATTTTTGCTATAACTGAACTTATGAGGCAGTATTCCTCGAGTGAGTGGCCCAGCACTTCGTATATCTTTCTGTATGTGGCCCTCGTGAAAAAAGGTTGGACCCCCCTGCCTTAGACTGTATCCTACATTACTCTTTTTATTTTTGGTTAGATGGTAATGAGAGTGAACTGAATTCAAACGGAAGAAGAGAAGAATCACTATTGAATGATATCAACATTAAATCAGCTGCATATCTGTGATCTTCTATATTTAAAAACATATCACACATAACGTTGAGGTACTTGTACATGTCTTGAGTATTTCCATGTTATGCTACTACTCAACTGCTTTGAAAAGGGAAATAATGTAATGTCTTTCCTCTACATTTATTTAACAGCTTTAGCTATTCTTTTAACAAAATGCTTCTCTTAAAATTAAACTAGTGCACTAACTCAGTAAGTCAGAAAAAAGTCAAAGATTTAATTATTTTACAAAAAGTAAATCAGCACTTTGTCTACAACAGTAAAATGATTCTTGATAGAAATGTCATATATAAATATCATTACACATAAAGGACCTTCTCTGCACAATGATTACTTTTTATACTTTAAGTACATTTAGCTGATAATACTTTTTTATTTTGACTGCAGTTCAGTTTGACTCTTTCTGACTTTAAGAAAGAGCAACTATTTTACACTGTGTGAAAAGTCGTATTGAAAAAACAACACATTGCGGGAAAAAAAGTCTCACGACTCATACGTGTTTTTTAAGCTAAAATCAGGTTTGAGTAAAATTGTTGAAACTCTGTCCCGATTCCAATAATCACACTTCCTCTGTGGCACAGTCAACATGGTCATCTCTGTTCATGTAAAGTGGAGGGAAAGAAACTCCAATCTGTCCACCGGGGTTTCATTTCTGCATCTATCGGGAGAACAATTATGAGTTTACATTCTCCACGTAGAGAAGCTGACAACTCAGCACGTCTCTGAAATCTCTTCCCCTCACGAAGCACACATTGAACTTTATATTTATCCACCAACAAAAGGTCACCCTTGATGTGTAAAGTCCTTTTTGGCATTATGGCATTTCAATTTATAACAAAGCGTTAATGAAATATGTTTTTAGTTTCTCTTTTGTGTCTCATGCGATTCAGTAAATTTGTCTTGAACAACGTTTCAACATCTTTCCAACTGATTCTCTTATCTTGGTTTAATGTGGTGCCTGTTCTCC